TAACTTTGTGACAGTTAAGTGTAGTGTCACCAAAATCACTACAGAACTCTACAGTGTCATCATGGTCGTACTACAACACTTAGTTTGGGGAAATGTCCCCATTTACTTGGCGGGTGCCTGTGACGTCACTTCCTCCTGCCAGCTGCCGTTTCAAGACTGAACCCCCTCAGTTCCGGTACCTGGGGGTGGGTCTCGTCAATCACACATTACATACATTAGGCCTGTTTCTGTTTGCAAGAAACAGATTTTTATTGATATTGAAAGTCTGGTTAGGTTACCAAGCTATGTGGAGCTATTATATGAATGAACACCATTACAAGCTAACATCTTTGTTCTGATATCCAAATTTGGCTTGAAATGTTTCTGTGGATACTATTATTTTTAATTAAGACCTACGTTTCCAAAGAGACGTCTATGTGCTGTTTGCTGTGGCGGTTCAAAATCGTTACTGTTTTTTTCTCTTACCACAGTCAGGGCACCTTTACTCTCATTACAGGCTCCATAGTTCCCGAATGCAGAGATCACCGTCATTAATAGGCCAAGAACGATCAACAGGGTCACCACTGAAGGAGAAAGCAGAAAAAACTCAGATTGGTACACGAAAAAAACATACTACTTCGAAAACATGAGTAAAAAAATTGCCATTGAAAATAAATGTGAACTATGTTAAATTCCTAAATTAATGTTATGTAGCCTAACATTTATGTAAATTGTCTAGCTTTAAATTTGGAGGCTTTGAATGTGAGTGTTTGGACACAAAAAAGCACAAACGTAAGACTTGGTAGCAGAAGAGTTTCGGATGTTCAAACCAAACTTCCTGCACCTGCTCTTCTCTGTCTTGCTTATGATATTTATAAATAATATATAAAACAAAGTACTGGTCAAAGAAAATTCTGTTTAAACGATATTCATGTTGGTGGCTAATCAGTACTTCAATCAGATTTAACTAAGTAAATTAATTAATTGACATGGTGGTGACATTTAGCAAATATATGGAACGGCTGAGGTGCCCCGGAGGAGGGGTTTGGGAACCGAAGCGGTGTTCATCTAGCCGTCCAGCAAGATATCAGTAATTTTATGGAGATTTTTTGTATTACTGTTAATTTGTATATATGTTAATATTATTTTTTCTGAGAAATATACACGTGCTAGTCACAAAAATAGATTTATATCTTTTCTTAGGTGGCCTATAGTATTTTTACACAGTACACACACACTCAAATAGTATATATAAAGAACAATGTACCGGTGACAATGGATGTCGTGTTCAGATCGACACTGAAGAATCCACTTGTCTGAGCGCTGAATCTCACCCACATTCCAAGTACCATTATTGCAAAGCCAATAAGCTGCAGATAAACAAGGTGTTTGTTAGGCTCGAAGAGCTGTCATATTTTCCGCTCTGCATTAATTTTATCCCAGTTCCCTGACAGTACAGCAATCTGACGACTTTAAAGGTCATACAGCGTGGAGGCAGCTTGAGTCTCCTGTGACCCCGACCACTGAACCACCGTTCAGAAAACGGTGCCGTTGCCGTTATGATGTGACACAGTGCGATGCCTGAAGTATGGATTTACACAATTTCTTAAACCAGGGAACCCAAAATTAAAATGGAAACAATCCAGGGACTCCTCCGCATGAAGACA